GAGGTGGAGGCATGGCGGCGGTCAATCGGACTCTAGACGTCGACGAGATGCAGATTCTCGTCTACTACGACGACGACGCTGCTGGGCTGCACTACCACCACCGTGTCTTGTTCACAAAGGTGGCCGCAGGTCGGTGGACCATAGGGACTCCTGGCGGTGATGTCTATGAGGAGGACTTCAATGGGGTTGAGGTGCGGCCGCTAGCTCGGAACGGGGCCTTCCCGGTCGACCTGGCGGGCATGATGTATGTGTTTCGAGGGCCGCAGCGAGCCCCTGCTCGGATCGCCACCGCGCGTGAGCAGGCGCGCGGGATCGCTGAGGTGCTGGGCGTGGCTCCTGCACCAGGTGCAGGCGGCGTGGCGGGCTCCAGCTGGCGTGTGGCGGACCCCTCGTCGGCTGAGTTCGACCAGGTCATCACTGCTGCCGAGCTCGCCGACTCGACAGATGATCGCGACGATGGTGTCAAAGTTCAGCGGTTGGCTCTCCTCAGTGGCGTCACCCAGCTGGTCGAGCTAGTGAAGGACTCAGACCACGACGCGTGGTTTGCTCGGAAGCGGCCTGGATTGCCTGGCGGTGCTTCGGGCGACCTGCGACTGCTCGGCCATTTCCTGAACTCTGCTCAGAGGAGGGCGCTGCCGCTGTCGAAGGCGATGGAGCTTGCGACGCCCAAGGCTTTCGCAGACTGGCCTCATCCTGGGCCGAAGGCTCCCCAGGAGTTTCTCGAGTCGGTCCTCGAGAACGGTGGTGGCCTCCAGGTGTGGCTCAACGCGTTCATGCGCAAGTCTGGGGTCAGCGAGAACTCGTCCGTGGCGCATGAGCTCCGGAACCTGGTCCAGATCGTGAGGCTCGGGATCAGCTACGACCAGATCGATCCGACCAACTTGGCCTGCATCGAGCAGGCCGCACGCAGGACCCACGAGATCCAGCAGGCCATCCGTCGGAACCCGAAGCGCCCCGACTTCGCAGGCCTGGACATCGGCACCATCGGGTCTTGCGTCGAGATCGGCAGGGCCCGCTTGCACAGTTTCGACACCTGGCTCAGCAGCAAGCAGAAGGAGGAGGCCAAGACTATGGAGGCCCAACGGAAGTGGCGCGAGGAGCTGGCCGCTGAGCGTCGACGTTCTGACAATCGCGATGGGCCTCCCCGCCGAAGTCCAAGGCGAAGGCAAAGGCCTCTCCTGCTGGCCAGCAGGAGGGGCAGGCATCGTGACCGCCTCGGCTCCGGGGGGCAAGGATGAGACACTTCCCCGCCGAGCCTCCCGCGTACTAAGTGGGGACTTTTTGGACAGAGGAGGCGGGCCCAAGCATGGTGATCCGTTCCCGCTGCCAGTGCCTTCTGTCGCTGGACGTGGCGATCGTGGGCCCCCTCCACACCGCGAAGCGCACGCCGCGAAGCGCCTGGCTTAACTGTTCGAAGAAGCAGACAGCTCAGGGTTGCCGAAGCGGTGCGCAGCCTCAACACTTTGGCTGCCTCTACCGCCTCTTCGATTCGTTCTGGAGGTGCCTGATTCGGGACTTCGTTACCGCCGCGCCTCTCATTCACCCAGACTGCTGTGATGAATCGTGTTCGAGACATCGTTGGTAGTTATGGGCCGATGCCGGCTGGGATGACTGCTCGGGAAGCTTTCTGGGGGCTTCTCAAGGCTAATGACCTGTGCTGCGTCGGCGAGAAGAACCTCGCCCCGTGTCAGCCCGATTTTCTGAAGATCGTGAAGGGCAAGACGGCACCAAAGCCCGCCGTCGACTTGCTGCCGCCTGAGGAGGCGGCGTTCTTGATTGATCCTGATAGGTACCTCGTCCGCTCGCAACCTGAGATCGATGCCTGGAATGAGGAGCACCCGACTTTCAGGCCCTTTTGGGACCCCCTTTTGCGACAAGATCGGTCTGCGCGGCTCGACCTCTATCGTAAGCTCTATGACAAGGGACTCTTGGGGTTTAGAACTCGTAGCAAGGCGAAGGTGGGGATATTCTTTGAATGGAAGTCGTCTCGCCGTGGGATCATGCTTACCGTGGGCGCCAGGATGCCGAGCGGCCACCACCGCTTGCCACCGAAGACTAGGCTAGGTGGGGCTGGCGCCTTCTCGCAGCTCGACGGTTGGCTTGACCAGGATGAGCTCGCTAGCTTGGCGCAGGGGTGTGGCCCGATCGCCGAGATCCCGAACCTCTCCGTCTGCGTGGGTGACGTGGGGGACGCCTTCTACCAGTTTTCGGTCGAGTCGATGACTGAGTGGTTCGGCCTAGACGACCCCGTCCGATGCTCCGAGTTCGGCCTCTCGCAGATCTTCGACAACGATCTCGAGAGGCTTCGCCCCGCCCGGCCCGCGGAGAAAGTGTTCCCTGTCTCCCTTGGGATGCCGCAAGGCTGGTCCTGGGCCCTGCACTTCTGCACCACCTCGGTGAAGCACTTCACCTCCGTGGCGATCGGGGGGAAGCATCGGGTGGTGCAAGAGGGGCTCCCTGCTCCTGATCTTCGATCTGGTCCCGTCTCGAGTGTCTATGTGGATAACCTTGCCACGGTGGGCCTGTCGAGCCCGGAGGTTTCGTCAGACTACGCTGCGATCAAGAGGGGGCCTGAGAGTGCGGGGTCCACGTTGCACGAGGAGGGCGGGGACGCACTGCTTGTCGAGAACGTGGGCATTGTGATAGACAGGAGTAGGTGCAGCATTCGTCACAAGTCTGAGAGGGCTTGGCGGCTGTATCTTGGAATTAAGTATCTTCTGAAGTTGCGTCGGGTGACTGGAGAGGCAATTCGTGTTCTGCTGGGTCATTGCATCCACTACCTTGTCCTCCTGAGGCCGGCGATGTCTGTCTTTGCCCACGCCTATCGGTTTGTGAACGACAGCCTAGGACGTACATGTGAGCTACCTGGTCGGGTGAAGCGTGAGTTCCGCGTGATGGCGGGGCTCGTTTTCTTGGCCGAGGCACGGCTGTCTGTTCCGCCATCGGATCGAGCCTACTGTGGAGACGCGCCAGGGAAGGGATACGCCGTCATGGACACCCCCATGGGCCCCGAGGAGTTCCGAAAGCTTACTAGGTGGAAGAAGCGTTGGCGGTTCGTGGAAGTGGAGGGGGATCGCGGGGACACCTTGCTCATGAGAGCCTCTGGGAACCTGCCGCCCCCGAACCCTGGCTGGTCTGCTGATCTTGAGGTGCCTGACACGTCATATTCACGGTGGCTTCTGGAGTCTGCTGGGATGCCCACCCCGTCTTCGGGCGCTCTGGAGTCGGGGGGTTTTCGTTCAGGAGTCTGCAAACTACGAGGTAAGGAACGTAGGCAGCTAGAGCAGAAGGAGATAGTTGGCATGGTCCCGATCCTCCCCGAGAGCGTTGTCGAGCCTGGTCGCTGGCGTACTTTATTCGAGGGGAGGTGGAAGAGGGACGAGGCCATCCATATGAAGGAGGGGCGGGTGATTCTGATGGCGCTCCGCAGGGAGTCGTACACTCGTTCAGGTCATGGACGTCGACGTCCTCGTGCTGTCTGATAATCTCTCGTCGCTGTGCTGTCTCGAGAAAGGCCGAGCTAAAGACTTCGGCCTGCTTGCCTTGGCCCGCAGGTGTGCCGCCTACTCGATTGGATGCGGCATCGACCTGAGGCTCCGATACATCGAATCCGAACGAAATCCCGCAGACGAGGGATCGAGACGTTTCGACGACGGAACGCATCATGTTGCCACAACCTCTCGGGGCCCTCCGCGCTGCTCGGCCTCGTCAGCTCTCTCTCGTCGGTCACTGGGTCTGAACATGAGCACCTCTCGGCCTGCATCGCCCCGTCAGCCGGGCAGGGAGGTGAGTGCTCCGCAGTCTTTGTCGCGTCCGCCGTCTTTGCCACGTTCTTCGAGACGCTTCGCGCCAGCCTTCCTGGAGCTCTACTCCGGCTGTGGGGCTCTGACTTCTGGGATGGCCGAGGCGGGCCACAGGGTGTCCGTGCCGTTCGATATCGCCGAGGGTCCGGAGTTCAATCTCGAGAAGCGGGGGGTCCAGGACGTCGTGATCAGGTGGCTCAACGAGGGCCGCATCTGGTACTTACATCTTGGGACGCCGTGTACCCCGTGGAGTATTGCGAGGAAGTCTCGGCCTACGAAATCATCGGTGAGGGTGTCTCGGGAGCGCGTTCGGTTCACTGCAAAGTTGATCAAGCTCTGCACGGATCTGAAGATATACTTCTCCCTCGAGAACCCCAAGACCTCATCACTGTTTAGGGAACCTGAGATCCAGTGGGCCCTGGAATATGCGGACGCGTTCTTTGTCGAGTATGATTGTTGTCGATGCGGTTGTTCGTGCAAGAAGCCGACCCTACTAGCGACTAGTTGTGATTCCTTGAATACCCTGCGTCTGAGGTGTGAATGTCAGGGGCCTCGCGAGATCCTTCAGGGGAAAGTACGACTATCGGCTCAAGACGGACATCATCGCTGGAAGTGGAAGACCTGTCTTGCAGCCTCGTACTCCCCCCAGTTGTGCCGATCGTGGGCGCGGGCCGCACGCCGCGCCGCTCCGAGGGGAGCGGGGCGCGCCCCAGGCGAGGCCCGGCTGTCGGATGCCTGGCAAGAGGAGCTGCGTCAAGACGCTGGGGCCGGTCTCCAACGGCCGCGGCTCGAGCTCGGCCACCTCCCGCGTCGCTGGACCTCGCCCTGGGCCGGGGCGACAGGCGACAGGCGCCTGGGGCACGGGCCCAACTTGCCGCTGCGCGTGCTCAACGTCTCGGAGCGGAAGGAGGACCAGGGTTCCTGAGGGCGCGCGCGATCCGGTCGGCAGGGGCCCGCCAGGCCTACACGGACGCCAACAACAAGTTCGTCGCCTTCGCCCGCCGCAGTGGGCTGCCGTTGGACACCGCTGATCACGTTGATGAGGCGCTGGAAAGGTTCATGGAGCTGCCGTTCCTGAGCGGGGGGCCGCAGTCAGTAGCCCGCTCCGCCCTGCATGGCTTCGCGTGGCGCCATCCTGAGATGCCTCACAAAGATCGGAGGCTCTACATCAGGAGCCGCGCCGCGCTCGCTGGATGGCGGAACCTTGAGCCGGGCGGGACGCGCGATCCAGCCCCTCTCGAGATCGCGTGGTGGATCGCTGACGACATGCTCCAGCGTGGCCTGGCGCTTGCCGCCTTTTTAGTCGTCCTGTGCTTTGACTGTTATCTGCGGCCTGGCGTGGGATGCACACTGCGCCGCTCTAACGTCATGCCACCGGCTGCTGCAGTTCACGAGTGTTATGATCGCTGGTGCCTCCGACTGTCCCCAGCCGAATCAGGCCAACCCTCGAAGACCGGCGCCTACGATGACAGCATCGTGGTCGGCGAGGTGTCTGGGCGGGAATGGATCGCTCGAGCCTTTGCGATCATTTTCCCTCACATCCAGTGTGATCATTTCATCTTCCCCTTCGGGCTTCGAGAGTTCGAGAAATGTTTCAAGGATTCGGTTGTGCGGCTCGGCATCTCGCACCTCCGTCTGTCACCCAACTGCTTGCGCCACGGTGGTCCTTCGACGGATGTATACACCAAGGCTTACACCCTAGAGGAGGTGCGTCGCCGAGGAAAATGGGCCGACCATCGCAGTGTGTCTAGATACGAGAAACACGCCCGTCTGCACGCCGTGTTTCAGAAGTTGCAGCCAGGTGATCAGCGCCTTGCCTCGACCGCCGCTGCCACTCTGTCCAGTCGCCTGCTCGCGGCCCTCCGCCAACCAGCCCTTTGGTCGAATGCAAGGAATATTGCAACTGTTACGTGGAGTGACTGTTTCGGTCGCGCCTGCAGCGATCGTGGCTCTGGCAAGCGCGCTCCGAGCTTGTGTTTGTCAGATCCAAGCGTGTGCTGGCTGCGCACGGTCCCGAGAAAAAAGAGAAGCTCTGGAGGTCCTTCAGGCTCTCGGGTGGTCTCAGACTGTGGGTCAGTATGTAGCCTCCTTGGCCGCGCAGTTTAGTGAATGTAAAGATTGCAGCAATCACTGATGTTTCTTTGCGGCGTGAGTCGTGGCCAGGTCCTTCCGATCCATCGCCCATTGTGCTCAAGTTTTTTCTGCTCCTCCTGCGCCCCCTGCACCTCCCTCTTGCTGTGTTCCACTGAACCCAGCCCACTTTCACTTACTTGGCAACTGTTATGTGAAGTGACTGTTTCGGTCGCGCCTGCAGCGATCGTGGCTCTGGCAAGCGCGCTCCGAGCTTGTGTTTTTTCAGATCCAAGCGTGTGCTGCCTGCGCACGGTCCCGAGACAAAAGAGAGGCTTTGGAGGTCTTTCAGGCTCACGGGTGGTCTCAGACTGTGGGTCAGTATGTAGCCTTCTTGGCCACGCGGTTTAGTGAATGTAAAGATATATATATATATATATATGTGTGTGTGTGTGTATGTTTCCCATATGTTTCCTATGTGTTTCCTTTACGTCTCTTATATGTGCTTCCTATGTGTTTCCTATGTTCTCTTATGTGTTACCTATACGTCTCTTATATGTTCCCCATGCGTTTCTTATTTGTTTCCTATACGTTTCTTCTATGTTCCTATACGTGTCGTATATGTTTCCTTTACGTTTCTTCTATGTGTCTAATATGTTTCTTATATGTTACGTATCCGGTTCTTATTTGTATCCCATACGTTTCCTATATGTTTCCGGTGCGTTTCTTACATGTTTCCTATACACTCTTATATGTGTCTTATACGTCTCTGATATGTATCCTGTACGTTTCTTTTGTGTTGCCTATGCGCTTCTTACATGTTTCCTATACGTTTCTTCTATGTGCCTTATGCGTTTCTCATACGTTTCTTATATGTTCCTTATACGTTTCTTATACGTGTCGTATATGTTTCCTATATGTTTCCGATGCGCTTCCAATATGTTTCCTATACGTTTCTTATACGCTTGTCATACGTTTCTTATATGTGTATTATGTGCTTCCTATCCGTTTCTTATATGTGTCCTATACGTTTCTTATTTGCTTTGTATACGTTTCCTATATATGTTATGTATACGTTTCCTGTATGGTTTGCGCACGTTTCCTATATGTATTGTATACGTTGTCTGTATGTTTTGTATACGTTTCCTGTCTGTTTCCTATACGTTGTGTACGCGTGTCCTATATGTTTTTTTGTTATACGTTTCCAATATGGGTTGTATACGTTTCCTATATGTTGTGTAGACGTTTCCCATATGTTTTCTATACGTGTTGTATACGCTTCCCGAATGCTTCCCAGACGTGTCCTATATGTTTCCTATACGCTTTGTATACGTTTCCTATACGTTTCCTATATGTGTCCTATGCGTTTCTTATTTGTTCCCTATGCGTTTCGTATGTGTTTCCTATACGTTTCTTAAATGTTTCCTATACGTCACTTATGTGTTTCTCCTGCGTATCTTATATGACAACCCGGCATCATCCTTCCCCTTCGCCCTCCTCGCCCAGGCGGTGTTTGGCGGCACCGAAACGGCCCAAAAGGCTTCCAAGAAGCCCCCAGGAGCGCCCCGAAACGGCCCAAGAGGCTTCCAAGAGGGCCCCAAGACGGCCCAAAAGAGCCCCAAGACGACCCAAAAGGCGCCCAAGACGACCCACGAGAGCCCCAAGACGACCCAAGAGGCGCCCAAGACGTCCCAAGGGAGCCCCAGGAGGCCCTAAGAGGCCCCAAGGAGGCCCCAAGAGGCCCCCAGCAAGCCACCAGCAGGCCCCAAAAGGTCCCCAAGAGGCCGACTGATGCCCCCAGCCGCCGCCGTCGCCGCGACCGCGCGGCGGCCGCGGCGGCGGCTCGCACCCAGGGCCCGGTCTGCCCTACTACTACTACACTACTACTACCACTACCACTGTCACCACCACTACCAGTACTACTTTTACTCCTGGTGCTACTTCTACTATTCTTTATAGTACTACTACTACTACTACTACTACTACTACTACTACTACTACTACTACTACTACTACTACTACTACTACTACTACTACTACTACTACTACTACTACTACTACTACTACTACTACTACTACTACTACTACTACTACTACTACTACTACTACTACTACTACTACTACTACTACTACTACTACTACTACTACTACTACTACTACTACTACTACTACTACTACTACTACTACTACTACTACTACTACTACTACTACTACTACTACTACTACTACTACTACTACTACTACTACTACCACTACTACTACTACTACTACTACTACACTACTACTACTACTACTACTACGACTACGACTACTACTACTACTACTACTACTACTACGACTACTACTACTACTACTACTACTACTACTACTACTACTACTACTACTACTACTACTACTACTACTACTACTACTACTACTACTACTACTACTACTACTACTACTACTACTACTACTACTACTACTACTACTACTATTGCGACTACGACGACGACGACTACGGCGGCACAAGCGCCCCCGACCACCACACTCCCGTCCTCCTGGACGTCCCGCCGCCCGCGCTGCGCCGCCATGGTCCCGCTGGAGCTCCGCAGCCTCGGGGGAGACCCCCGGGGGGGGGGCACGGCTCGCCGACGCCGCACTCCCGCGCCGATGCCCCCCGACAAGTCTCGAAGAAGAAAAACGCCATAAACATACAGTCGGGGCCCTGAAGAAGGGACCCTTTTCGTTTCCTTGTGTCTTCGCTAGGAAACCGAAGTTTAACGTATGGAAAACAGGGGCCTCGTTCCTTATTTAGGGTTCCTTAGGTCAACGCCCCGACTGTAAACTGTTGGCGCTCCGCGCGGATATCTTGGATCCGCGCTGCGCCGCCCCACGGCGCGCTCCGCGCGCCGGGGAGGGGGGTCCAGCGCAGATGTAAGAAACTCCGCGCGGAGTGCCAACAGTTCATGCTTACGGTTTTTGTTTCTTCTTCTGAAGCGCGCTCGTTCTGCAACGCAGGCACTGCGGAAGGCCTCTTTTGACCGGTGTTCGGCCGTGCTGGAGTCGGCGGAGGGTTTGAGGTGGCTCAGCGCCAATTCTGGCAAGCAGGAAGGGGGGGGCGAGCCCCGGTGATTAGACCTGGGGCGACGAGCCCACGGGAGGTGCCCGGGCATTGACTGTGAACGGATTTGCCATTGTCTTTCTTTTGCGGTATATTTTCTCGAGGTCCATCCAGTTCATCACCGGAGGAGCAAGAACCATCACCATCACCAGCTGTAGGGGGGCTGGCCGCTCCCCCTCCCCGGGCGGGTAACACCCCGTGCTCGGCGCGCCCCCAGGGAGCATACCCGGAACGGAGTGCCATCAGCTCGGGGGGGGATCTTTCGGGGGCCCCCAAGCGGGGTGGTGACCACACCGTGTGGTGAGTCGGTGGGGATTCGGAGTCACCGCGCGGTTTTGGGACTCGGGCCGTTCTCCGAGGACGTCTCGGGCGACTGGGGCATCCGAGGTCCCAAAACCGTGCGTTGACGGACCGTGCGGTGAGGTTTTGGGGGGTTTTGAGGTCACCGCACGGTCTGTCGCCGCAACGTTTCGGGACTCCAAAGTCTTTGGGAACGGAGTCCTATGGAGTTCTGGTGGTAGCAGAACGGAAAGAATGGGCACGATGCCCAGCATTCTTAGCAGGACTCGTTGTCCGCGCCGCTGCGGACGTTGTTCATGGACGACGACAAGCCGCCTGCCCGACAGCGGCCGCTGCCGGTTTGGGACCACACTTGCAGTTGGGCATTGTACCCCTTCTTTTCCGTAGTTACCCATGTCGGGCGCCCGGATTTTTGTTTCCATGAGTTCAGGCCCCTGGGCCGTCTCAGAGCTGAAGGCTTCTCTCGGGCGATGTGCGGCCCCTGGTGTGGCCCTTGCGGGGCCACCCGTGCGGTCGAAGGAGGAGCCGGGATGGAAAGGCTGGCCCGGGGAAGTCCGGGGAAGGGGCCGAGAATGCTACGGGATCCCCTCCCCAGACATGATCGCGGCGTACACAAATTCTTGTGGGCCCCTGAGAGTCCCGACCCCAGACATGATCGCGGCGTAGACAAAATCTGGACGGGAGGTGTTCGGCCAAATTCGGCCTCGGGGGGCCCTCGCCGTGCCTCGGGGCCGTCAGCAAACGATTCGGGATGGAAAACGAGTCCCGGGGAAAGTCAGCCACGCGCAGAGGGGGGTGGGGGCAGGGGGAAGGGCTTCTTAGAAGCGCCCCTGCTTCTAAGAAGCCCTCCCCCCTCCCCCCACCCCCTTGTGCGCGCCGCCAAGGAAAGGGTCGGGATTTCCAAGGGCCCCGTTTTGAAACAGTCAGGACGTCGCATGTCTGGGTCTGCCCTCCCCGGCCACGATCGCGTCGTTAGAGTCAAGGCGGGAGGTGCTTCTTGGCTATGTTCGGCCTCTGTGAGCCCTCGCTGGGCCTCGGGACGGTGAACAAAACGGTTCAGGATGAAAAGCCCGTCCCGGGGAAAAGGGGAAAAGGTCATGGTGCCAACATCGCAAATCGGAGTTCGTTTCGGAGTTCGACCTGAATTGCGTGTGGTTTTTTCAACCAGGAATGAAGACTACAACAAATCCACGTGAGACGCACTTCGTCCTTCGCTCGCCTGCTCGGGGGTTCTGCGTCGACAGAAATCCACGCGAGAATCCGCTGCAGCACGTCTGCAAGGTCGGTGTAAAGACAAAGGTCGGGGCTTCCAGGGACCTCGCATGGAGCCAATCAGGACGTGGCAAGTCTCGAGACGGTCGTGTCCCTCTACAGGAGGAATATTCAGAAATAGTGCATCTGGCGACAATTCTTTCCCTATGTTGGATTATTTTTAAATATTTTTGGAATCTCAGTCATTTTTCGTCCAAGACCCCCCTGTGGGGGGGGACACGCCCGACCGAAGGCAAGTCTGCCATGACTTTGATGGCGTCCGGGGGTTGGGTTGCCCGGGCACGGCGCAGTGCCGGGCCCAGGATCGGACCGGCCTGGGGACCTGTGCAAGATTTATCAAGACCTCTATCTAAGCCGGAGTAATGGGGGAAACACAAATGGGGGGACCGGGGTAGGCGCAATAGTTCATGCAATAGTTGGTGTTTGGATGCCATAGCTTGCGGCGTGGATGCAATAGTTCCGCGCGGGTGTTGCTTCGTCTTGTTTCGTGCGCAATAGTTCAGGCGGTTTGCAATAGTTCGTGCCCCCTCGCAATAGTTTGCGCGCAATAGTTCAGGCAAACGAACTATTGCACCTACTGCCGTCCCCCCTTTTGTGTTCCCCCCATTGCTCCTGCAAGACCTCGAGAATAGGGACAACCCCTAACCTCAAGTTGGGCCTGTCCCTCTACAGGAGGAATATGCAAAAACTGTCCAGCAAATTATCTGGGGACGAGTTTCCGAGCATGTTGTGGCCATTCTGGTTGTATTGTTTTGCATATTTGTTGGTTCACAACCCGCCTGTGGGGAGTTACGCCCGGCCTCATTTGGGTCCCCGTCTGTACATCAGGGATACACGAACTGGGCGTTTGGGTTCGATGCATCTGCAGAACAGACCCCTTACAGTCAACCCACATAGTAAGGACTAGCAACCTTTCCAAGGGCACCCTTGCATCCTTGCCCCTTCGGCCCATGCTTAGCGTTTTTCGCTGGGCAACCTCGTCCGAGGAGCGTCAACTTGGCCCTCCACGGCCCCCGCATTCTTACCGCGCATCCTTATGATACGGGTCGACTGTATCCTTAATGTTTCTGGCCCTCCTCCCTTTACTCCTCCTCCTCCCTTACCTCCTCCTTCTCCGTCTACTCCTCGTCCACCTCCTCCTCCTCCTCCTCCTCCTCCTCCTCCTCCTCCTCCTCCCTCTGCTCCTCCCAAATGGTTAGGGTTAGGGGTCGCCCCAAAGGGTTAGGGGTCCTTTTGTTGCTGGTCGTTCAGAGATCCGGATTCTGAAGCGTTTCCCCCCCCCCTGTTTGGGGCGCCTCCTCTGGGGCTCCTCGTCGCCGAGGCCGGATTCCCTCTCTCGAAGCTCTGGCCAGAACGCGCCATTGGACAGGCACCCATCGGTCCCCCTCCCCCTCCTCCTCCTCCTCCTCCTCCACTCCTCCTCCTCTCCTCCTCCTCCCCCGCTCCTTCCTCCTCCTCCTCCTCCTCCTCCTCCTCCTCCTCCTCCTCTCTCCTCCTCCTCCTCCTCCTCCCCCCACCTCCTCCTGTCGTGCCGCCACGACCGCGTTCCCTCGGCGGGTCGATCCTCCTCCTCCTCCTCCTCCTCCTCCTCATGCTGCTCCTCCCACTCCTCCTCCTCCCCCAACTCCTCCTGTTCCTCCTCCTCTCCCAACTCCGCCTCCCCCTCCTCGCTTAAAGCGTGTATTTTTGGGATATCCAGATTCCAGTCTACTATAGGCGCCTCCCTACTCCAAGGATCGAGTGGGGTTCCTTTTCCTTCGTCTTCAGGGGGCCGCGGACACCCAATATGTTTCAATGCCCTCCTGATTCATGGTTTCCGTGGACATGTACAGGGGTCGAGATCGCATTGACGAAAAAAAGGCTCCCCAGGGCAAGGGTCACCTGTCCAGGACCCGCTTCCCACAGGACCGAGTTCCTGACGGCGGCGAGCGAGGGTGGGCAACGAGAAGGAGGAGGCCTTCTCAGAAGGCGGCGGGATTTCTCAGAAGCCTTCGGGGTTTCTCATAAGTTGTTGCGTCGTCGGGGAAGTCTTAGAAAACTTCTCAGAAGGCCAGGGGGCTTCCGAGCCTTCGGAGAACGCCCGCCCCTTCTCACTTCTCCCCCAAGGCTCCCCGCCGAGACGCGGAGGTCGAGGGCGTCGACGACTCCGACGATAAGGACGACGACGACGAGAGCGACGACGAGGAGGGCACCGAGGGCGAGAACGAAGGCGAGGACGACGACGACGAGAACGACGACGAGGAGGGCACCGAGGGCCAGAACGAAGGCGAGGACGACGACGACGACGACGACCACGCAGTCGAGGACGACGAGGATGAGGACGACGACGACGACGATGACGACGACCCCTTCTCGCTTCCCCCCGGGCTCGCCGCCGATCCCAGTCCGTCCGGCGCGCCGTGCTCCTGGTCAGTGCTCGCCCCCCCGGCCCATCGCAACCCTTTTTCGGGGACGAGGCTCGTCTCCCGGATCGCCTCTCGATGGAGGCCTGAGAATCGGGGGCGGCAAAGAGGGGGGTGATGACTAGGGGGGGTGGATATCCTGGCGGGGGCCATGACATCCCCCTAGATCTCATGGCGCCTCTTATTATTTCATTACTCACCAGCCTCGAACTTATCCCTATCCCTAAGATTGACACGCCGAAAGGCGATGGCAATCTTAGGGATGCGCCCTCAAAAACTGAGGGAATTCCTAAGATTGGCATCGTGATGGGGCGATGCCCAGCATAGGGCTCCAGGCTGGTAAATTACGTCCCTGACCCTCCCCCCCCTGGGCCGCGCACATGCCGCCGGCCATGATTTGCACACCTCCCTCTTGGACGCCCCCCTCCTTTGCCGCCCCCGAGAAGACGCCCCTGCGGATTCGATGCCGAATGTTGGCAAACCGCACGGCAGCACGTCGGTCGGTTCCTGCTGCTACGGCGGGGGACGGAGGCCTCGGCTCGTCCCTCCTCCCAGGAGACCTCCTGGAACTCAGCGTGGACCCCTGCTGCACGGTCGCGGGTGTCAAGCAGGCTGGGGGGGAGGGGGCGGGCGGCTGGCGCTTCGTGCGGCCATGGTGCGCGTCGTCTCCGCCGTCCTCGGGGGAGGAGGAGGAGGAGCGAGGGAGGAGGGAGGAGGAGGAGGAGGAGGAGGAGGAGGAGGAGGAGGAGGAGGAGGAGAGGAGGAGGAGGAGGAGGAAGCGAAGGGGGAAGCGAAAGGGACTGAGAGGAGGAGGAGGAGGAGGAGGAGGAGGAGGAGGCGGAGGAGGAGCAGGAGGAGGAGGAGGAGGAGGACGAGGAGGAGGAGGAGGAGGAAAGAGAGGGACGGGGGAGCAGGTGGAGGAAAGTGCTAGTCGTTTGTGGGTACAGACTGTCGTTCACATGCAGGTGTGTGTGCCTTCCCTAAGGGCTTGGTAACAACTATTCTCCAACCGGCTTTCGGAGATACAAACGAGATAAATCGAGGTACATCCTGATACATCGAGGCGATTCCAGACATAACCAGGTACATCCAAAGATGTTCAGGTAGGCCCGGCACAGATCGTGGAAGCTCCAGCGCGAGTCGACGGATACCAGAAGTCGTTGAGCACTTACCGACATCTTAAACTTGCCTTCTTCATCACTGTGGCTTGCGCATCGTTTCCTTGCTGGTCGATGGATGCTTGGGTGTCTTCAGCCCGCATGCAGACGCGTGCATATGGCGTTCTGTTAGTTCGCCTCTGGATTCCCCTGCACAGAACCTGCACCTGGACGGTTTCCCCCATGGCCGTAGGCGACCCGAGGAGGGGAGGGCGAGGAGAGGGAAGAAGAGGAGGAGGAGGAGGAGGAGGAGCAGGAGGAGGAGGAGGAGGAGGAGGAGGAGAAGGGGCAGGGAAAGGAGGAGGGGGAGGGGGAAGGAGGAGGAGGATGATGAGGAAGAAGCGGACGAATAGGAAGAGGAGGAAGAAGAAACATAAGAATAAGACGAAGAAGAAGAAGAGGAGAAGGAGGATGAGGAGGGGGATGAGGGGGAGGAGAGAGGAGGAGGGAGAGGAGGAGGAGGAGGAGGAGGAGAAGGAGGAGGAGAGAGGAGGAGGAGGAAGAGGAGGAGGAGGGGGAGGGCGAGGGGCAGGAGGGGCAGGAGGAAGAGGAGGAGGAGGAGGAGGAAAGGAGGAGGAGGAGGATGAGGAGGAGGAGGAAGAGGAGGAGGAGGACGGGTCGCCTAAGCCCTTCGGAGAAACCCTACACTCGCACCACTGGCCTCTTCTCTGGTTGTTGAAGCAGCGGATCTGCGCAGGAGTGTTGCCCGTGCGTGGTGGTTCCCACCCATGCGCTTCAGTCGAGCCTGCCCCTCTACAGGAGGAATATTCAAAAACAGTCAAAACATAGTCTGGGGACGATTTTTCTATTATTTATTGATCGTGTTTGGGTATGTCTTGGACTATTTGTCCAAACGCTCCTGTGTTGGGTTCTCATTTTGGGTAGAGCAGTGTGGTCGCCCCGTCCTTCATCCTTCCTCCTCCCCTCTCCTCCCCTCCTCCTTCTCTCCTGTTTCCTGTGTTCCACCACTACAGCTCGCGGTGCCCTAGGGGGCTGCGATCTGCGAAACTGTCGGCACTTTCGCGGGCTCCTGGGAGGCCCAGCGGAGGTACGTCATACGCGGACCACCACTATAGCTCGCGGTGCCCTGGGGGGCTGCGATCTGCGAAATTGTCGGCACTTTCGTGGGCTCTTGGGAGGCCCAGTGGAGGTACGTAATACGCGGACCACCACTGTAGCTCGCGGTGCCCTGGGGGGGCTGCGATCTGCGAAATTGTCGGCACTTTCGTGGGCTCCTGGGAGGCCCAGCGGAGGTACGTCATACGCGGACCACCAACTGTCGGCACTTTCGTGGGCTCCTGGGAGGCCCAGCGGAGGTACGTTATACGCGGACCACCGTTAGAGCTCGCGGTGTCCTGGGGGGCTGCGATCTGCGAAACTGTCGCCACTTTCGTGGGCTCCTGGGAGGCCCAGCGGAGGTGCGTCATACGCGGACCACCACTATAGCTCGCGGTGGGGGCTGCGATCTGCGAAATTGTCGGCACTTTCGTGGGCTCCTGGAAGGCCCAGCGGAGGTACGTCATACGCGGACCACCAACTGTCGGCACTTTCGTGGGCTCCTGGGAGGCCCAGCGGAGGTACGTCACACGCGGACCACCACAAACGCCCCTCGTGTGTCCGTGTTGTATTTTCGCTGCTGCTACCTTTTCCCGGGGACTGGTGTCTCATCCTGAGTCGTTCTTCGACGGTCCCGAAACCCAGCGAGGCCCCCCCGAGGCAGAAAATGGCCCACAACATTTTCCAGCCCTGACGTTTTTTTCCTACGACGCAATCGTGTCTGGGTTCCCCTTGTCCTCGGTCTCGTGCACGCCGTGCTTCGCAGGGCGCCCCAAGACGTCCCCCTAATCTCTAGGCCTCCCAGATATTAGGGTCGGAGTAGATGGGGTCGGAGGATTGCGCCGCATCGCCAGTGCGTCGGCGATGCGGCTCGATGCGGAGCCCGATTTTCTCCACGCCGACGTCGCCGATGCATCGTCGACGCCGACGATGCATCGCCAGTGCATCGGCGATGCATCGCCGCGACGATGTATCGGCGATGCGGCGCGATCCTCCTGCCCCACCTACTCCGACCCCATCTAGGAGGCCGCTATTGTCCGCGTCCTCTACGCCTCCTGGCCGGCTCTCTCCCCGTCCCGTCGCCGCGCACCGCCCTGCGGCTTCCAGCCCCTGCGGTGCCCGTGCTCTCTCCCCGCCCGTCCCCTGCCCCCCCCCCCCACCCCCTGGCAGACTTCGGTCGGGCCTGTCCCTCGACAGTCAAGCAGTGGCGAAGCGTCCTGGCGTGCCTAGAGGCCTACCAAACAATGTTCTACGAAGCTTGTGTGGTCTGCGCGGCATGTTCTTAGAACATTTCTGGCTGGGGCTGTCTTGTATTAACACATGGGGTAGATGTTATAAGAACACTGTTTTTTGTTATTATAATGCTGTTGTGTGATTCGCACATTGTTGGGCTCTAAGAACATGTCGTGGTAGGCCTATAGGAATGCCGGGACGGTCGGTCCCCGCTCAATACAGGAGGCATATTCAAACATAGTGAGACATAGTTTTGGATGTTTTTTGATTGCTTCTGTTTGTTTTGAACTATTATGTTTGTGGTATGTTTTGTTCATCGTCCAAAATCCGCCTGTCGGGGGACATGCCCGACCGAATGGCAGACCCGACGTCGCGAACAAAGAGAAGAGACATCTTCTGAAAAAAAACGCGACCTGAGCTCCAGACCCCATCGTTGCTGGGCCCCCCCGAGCTGCATCGCTCCGTGAGGGCCCTGGGGCGCGGGGCACCTGGCGACACCACGCCCGCTGTGAAAAAGGACTGCGCCGCCCGCACCTCAGGGCCAGGCGCAACAAGGTACCGATGCCGCCGCTCCGCAGCCCTCTCCTGGGGTGCGTTCTGACCACAAGTTCGAGGCGAAGGGCATGGCGGCGAGGACCTCCCGGGAGGCCCGGACGAGGCACGCAGGCGCAGCAGCAGCGGCACCTTGCCCTCGCCGCCCTGTCCCGCCCTTCCCCCCCCCGGGCCCGCGGACGTCCTGACTCTGCTCGCAGCGTCGACCCCAGAGGTCTCGACTCCTTCCGCGGGGCCGGCTTTGCATCCTGAGGTCACTCACAGTCGGGGCCCTGAAGAAGGAACCCTGTTCGTTGGGGAGGGGCTCCGCGTTCCTTAAGTGTTTCGCAGCTTGCCTCAGGCTTTCCTTATGTTTTCGATCGGAAATCGAAGTTTAACTCATGGGAAAAAGGGGCCTCGTTCCTTATTTAGGGTTCCTTAGGTCAACGCCCCCTCCGTATACGGACGGCCCCGGGGCACGGCGAGGGCCCCCAGGGGGCCGAACACGTAGCCGAGAGCCGCCCGTCGTGATTCTCTCATGGCCCGAGGGGGGCCTTCCACCGTCCGCGGGGAGCCTTCCACATCGAGCCGCATCCCCGATGCATCGACGATGCGGCGCGATCCTCCGACCCCATCTGCTCCGACCCTATCTGGGAGGCCCAGAGATTAGGGGGACGTCTTGGGACGCCCTGCGAGGCACGGCGTGCACGAGACCGAGGACAAGGAGAACCGCGAGCCTTCCTCATCGAGACACATCCCCGATGCATCGACGACGCGGCGCGATCCTCCGACCCCATCTGCTCCGACCCCATCGAGGAGGCCTCCCCGAGATCCGAAGCAGCGGAGGAATTGCAGCACCGTGGAACATCACTACCGCAGCCGTAGACCCCATCTGTCTGCGCCAGTTTTTTTCGAGCCGCGGCTCGATCTGTGAGGGCCCCCGCGCGAAAAAAATCACATCGCCAGGATCTCGGGGCTCGAGGGGGGGGGTCCCTGCCCGGGGGTGGAGCTCTGGGCCCCATCCTTCTGCAGCCTTTCTCGAGCTGGATCGATCTGGGAGGGCCTCGGGGCCCGAAGTGGGGCGATCGGGGGTGGACAGACCCCCCACCCTGACACGTCGATTAGGGAATCGTCCGTTCTCGGTTCTCGAGAGGGCGCCGCGGCCGTCCTCTTCCAGGCTTGCGCCCGCCAGGTTTGGGCCCGAGGTCGTTTTCACCAAACCACGTTTTATTAAAGGGGGTTCTGTCTATCCCTGAGGCGAGAGGACACCCGGTCCAAAACATTTGCACAGCTAGGGGGCCACGTGCGAACCTTGCCCCTACCCCCCGCGATTTCTGAGGAGGAGGAGGGTGGGGTTCACTTCGCTCGGGAGCTCCCGAACGAAGTGAACCCCACCCTCCCCCGCAGAAGTCGTGGGGGGTACAGTGCCGTTGTTAATACATGCTCCGCGTGCGGATCATGCATGAAAAATGCCGGGATTTAGTATTAGAAACAACGATGAGTTCATGCATACATTTATTCATACATTGATCATGGATTAGAAGTCCTAACTTTTAAACATCCCATGTATTAAACACTGCCCTGTAGGGTTTGCACGTGGCCCCCCAACAGCGCCAGGATCCCGGGGCTGGGGGGGGGGGCCTTCCCCTGCCCAGGGTGGAGCCCACGGGGCGGCGATGTCGAGGGCCTCGCCCTCGAGTTTCTGGTTGGGTCGAGGCCTAAGTCGGGCGTGTCCCTCTACAGGAGGGATGTTCAGAACTAGTCCAAATATAGTAGGGGGGCGATTGTTCGACTATTTTCTAACATGTATGATGCTTTTCGGCTATCTTGCATTTTTCCTTCAGAGCCCACCTTTAGGAGGACACTCCCGACCTGAGTCGAGGCCGCGCGCTCCAGCCGCACGTCCACGCTTTCGGGGCCCGAGGCGTCCGAGCCGGGTGGCGGAGCGACGGGGCGCGAGATCTGCCCGACCACGAGATCTGTTGCCCAGAGAATCGCTCAGCGTGAGAGGAGGCTGGGACGAGGACAACCATCGGGAGGAGGAGGAGGAGGAGGAGGAGGAACAGGAGGAGGAACAGGAGGAGGAACAGGAGGAGGAGGAGGAGGACGAGGACGAGGAGGAGGAGAGAAGAGGAGGAACAGGAGGAGGAGGAGGAGAAGGAGGAGGAGGAGAGGAGGAGAACGAGGAGGAGGAGGAGGAGGAGGAAATGTCGTCGAGAAAAAACTCACGGGGCCCCACAAGAGGCCTCCGAGGCGCCAAGAGAGCAGCCCTCCCAGAGGCCCCCGCGGGGCCCCCCGGGAAGCCTCCCACATGCCCCCCGGGAAGCCGCCCGCATGCCCCCGAGAGTTTCCCAGGAGGCCTCAGAGAGGCATCCCAAGAAGTCCCCAGAATCATCCAGGAGGCTCCTGTCTCCAAGACATATAAGCAGAGGCATGCGACGTCCTGACTTGTTTTTCTTTACGGGGCCCCTGGAAGTCCCGACCCTTTCCCCGAGGTGAGTTCTTCATCCTCAATCGTTTCCTGACGGTCCCGAGGCCCAGCGAGGGCTCCCCGATGCCGAAAATGTCTATAAACAAAGCTATCCCGTCCTGAATTTTGCACGGCGCGCTCATGGCATGTCTGGGAGGACATCGTCGGGGAGGACAAACGACCCAAAGGGGCCTTCACCTCCTCCTCCCCCTTCTCCTCCTCCTCCTCCTAGCTTCCCTTCCTCCTCCTCCTCCTCCTCCTCCTCCTCCTCCTCCTCCTCCTCCTCCTCCTCCCTCCTCCTCCTCCTCCTCCTCCTCCTCCTCCTCCTCCTCCTCCTCCTCCTCCTCCTCCTCCTCCTCCCCCCCCTCTGGCAAGAGGCGGTGGCCGCCAAGTGGCGCGTGCCGCCCGCCTGCCAGCAGCTCCTGGCCGCGGGCGCCGTGCTCCCGGACGCCCAGGAGGTCGGCGCCTGCCCCGGCGGCTCGGCCGCCGCGCGGACGCCGCTCGCGCTGAGCCTGGTCGTGTCCTTGGACGCGCCGCGCCGGGACCTGGAGCTCGGCGCCCGATCGGGGCTCGCTTCGATGCCTCCGATCCGATGCGATGCGGATTCGACGGCTTCCGCTTGCGATCCGCCTGGGGCTCAGGTTCCGAGTCTGGGGCTCCGATTTCTCGGCGGAGGCCTGCCAGCCTGCCGATTCGGGCCGATGCGGCTTTTCCCGATGCGGCTGCCGATTTCCGCCGATCCGATTCATTTCGATCGGCGATCCGACTTGTCGAGTCGATTCTGGGCTCTCCTGCTCGATCGGGGCTCAATCGACCCTAGGCGTGAGAGTGACCTTCCGCCGGAGCGACCTTTGGTGCGGGCCCAATGGGGTCCCCGATCGCCGAGCGCGATGCGACAGCAGCGTCTTGCGCGCTCGTGTCTGGTCCCCCCACGATGCCCAAGAAACCGCGCACCAAAGGTCACTCTTACCCAGGGTCACTCTTGCGTGTAGTCGACTCAAGAGACACTGAGATCCTGGCGACTCCATTTTTTCGAGCCGGACGTTGTCGTCCGGTTTCGGGCCAGGGCACCCTCATAAATGGATCCAGTTCGAACATGGGGCAGAAAGATGGGGCCTAGGGTTCTGGTCGTGACTTCTCAAGATGCTTCAATGTTTTCGAGACGTCGGATTCCTGCGGACGGGGGACAATTCAAACGGAGGTCAGTCAGAGCTCCGGATCTTGCATTGACCCGGGCTTGGGTGCGGGATCCTGCAGGATTTTTCATGGCCTGACTGACCTGGGTGTGCATGGATTCTGGTCAGTGGATCCCCGACCCGAAGAAGAAGAAGAAGACGAACAAGACTACTCATAACATTAACCAGAAAAGAGGACAGGAATGATAATAACAATAATGATAAGAAGAACAATAAGAAAAAGACAACAAGAAGACGAACAGTAATAAGGACAAGACGAACAATACGAATCATAACATTAACCAGAACAACACACATTGCGACGACTACCATGGTCGATTGCTGGTGCGGGCGCGTTGGGGCCCCCAGGTGATTGAGCACTGCACGATCGCAATTAGGTCGGGCAGGTCCTCCCACGGCCGGATTTTGGAGGATGAAGGATGAGGATAGCAAGAACCTGTGCAACAAACATTGAAAGAGCAACTCGCCCCCGGACTATTTTTCATTATTTTTGAGCATTCCTCTTGTTCTCATTTTTTGTTGACTATTCCTCCTGCAGAGGGACGGGCCCGACTCCACGGTGGCAGCGTCCTGCGCCCTCGGGCCTGGCCTCCCCCGCGGCCTGCCCCCCCCCCCCCGAGCGTCGCGCCACGCGAGGCCGCTCTCTTGCCTCATGGCGCGGAGGCCCGTACCGAGAAGCACCCCGCTCGCCTCCGGGGTGCCCCAATCAAGGACACAATTGTACGATATCAAACTCTCATGTTTTGGGTGCACCTAGCCCGGTTGAGCGTGCTTCAGTCGAGGGCTCTCCCTATCGACACCCTGAGCCGAGGACACATACGGAAGGAGACAAATCTCTATGATTGAATCGCAACACTCTGCAACTCTGCACTCTTATGGCAACAAGAAAAAAAACGCCCAGGAGACCCGGGGCACCCTGCTCGCCTCCAGGGTGCCCCAGGTCTCCTGGGCTTCGATGGTTTTGCTCCCGAAAGCGTGACGCTCCCGCCCCCCAAAAGTCCATCCATGGACGCTCTGGGGTCTCAGGGTTGGGCTTCTCTGTTGGAAGGTCTCTCGTGGCCGGTCCCTTGCTGAATGGTCACTCGTGCGTGCAGCCGAAGGGGGTGTGGTGGTATGGTTACGCCTGGGTGAGGTTTGCGATCGGCGCCGTATCCAAGGCTCGACGATCCCTCGTCGGGGCGCGGCGGAGATCGATGTCGAGGTCCTCGCCCGTATCCCCCCGGGCACGGGCGTCAAGCCACACCCTTCGGAGTCGCCGAACACTGCGGAAGCATTGCCGATGCGGTCGGAGTGGGACGGAAAGCGCGGTGACGAGAACGGACAGCAGGCCCTGCCCATTTTGAACGGGATCCGCGGTCGGTGTCGCCGCGGGCCGTGTCCCGCTTGGACAGGACATCGCCTGCTGTTTGGCATTGTACCCAGTAATTCCGTACAGTGGGGGCTTATGCCAAGAAACACCTTGCTTGCCTCCAGGGTGCCCTGGGTTTCTTGGTTTTCGATGGTTTTGCGATGGAAAGCGTAACGTTCCCACACCAAAAGTCCATGGAGGCCCTTGGGTCTCAGGGTTGGGTTTCTTGTGGACGGTTTCTTGTGGAGGGGCCCCCACTGTACGCCTTTCCGGCGGGGCAGCACAGCTTTCGGAGCTCCGCGCGGATGCCCTGGATCCGCCTACGGGCTCCCCGGGCGGTGCCACCGGCGGCGAGCGAGCCCAGGGGGGGGAGCGAGCGGGGGCGGGCCTCGTCAGGAGGAGGAGGAGGAGGACGATGGGGATGAGGAGGAGGAGGAGGAGGAGGAGGAGGAGGAGGAGGGCGAGGAGGTCGAGGAGGAGGAGGAGGAGGAGGACGAGGACGAGGAGGAGGAGGAGGAGGAGGGGCAGGCCTCCTCAGTTGGCGGCGGGGCCTCTCCGAGGCCCTCGCGCCCTCCTGAGAAGCCGTATATGTGGGAGGTTTAGGAAAGCTTGTCCGAAGGCGCGAGGGCGCCTGAGAAACCCCGCCGCCTTCTGAGAAGAAGAAGAAGGAATAACACGAATTATGATGATAACAATAATGATACTGATAATAACAATATCAATAAGCATACTAACAATAGACAGTAATACGAATACAGAGAAGACGAATACGAATCATAATATTAATAAGGCTAAAGGTAAGCATCAAACTAATAACAATAATAAGCAAGCAGTGCGCCTTGACAGAACAGCTCTGGGAGCTCTGCGCGGACTTCCTGGACCTTCTCCAAGGTCCCTCTCGGCGCTCCCACTGGCGTAGCCCCTGTCGCGCTTTCTGTGCGCTGGGGAGGGGGATTCAGCGCAGACCCAGACATCCTCCAAGATGTTTTTTCAATCCGCGGTTCTAGGGTTCGGTTTGGCATGTCCCCCTACAGGCAGATTTTGAGCGAAAAACAACTTCCAGAACGGCCCAAAAATACTAACAAAATTGTCCCCAGGCGATAGAACACTATTTTTGAATATTCCTGTGTCAGGCGATCGCAAACATGGATCAAGGGGGCGTGGATTAGCGACGGGTCCCGTTTCGATGGGGAATCGCGGATTTCCGCCGCCGAACGAGGCGGCCCTGGCCGCATTTTGGGGAGGGCACCTCCCCCGATCCATGGAGTTGGCGACTGCGCGCCAAATCCATGGATCGCTGATCCATGTTTGCGCGCCCCCGACTGTAGAGGGACACCCTTCCCCGGGGACCTCGTTCGCCCCAGGGCTGCTGTTTTGTTGACCGCCCCTCGAGAGCCGGTGAGGGCCCCGAGGGGCCGAAGACGATACAAAACACCGCCCGTGCCGGTTTTTTGTTTTTCCCGCGGGGCCAGATGACTGGGGATGCAGTTCCTTCCGCTCCTCTGTATCATTGTCGTGGCGGCAGCATCGCAGAGCAGATTGCGTTCGGAAAGCGAAAGGGTGGGCCCGGAGTGTCCTGGAGAATTTCGTTCCGGATTTCGAGGTGAATTTTGTGTGCGGATTTCATGGCCAGGAATGAAGACTAACAAAAATCAGCGCGAAATTCACGTCGTTTTTCACTCGCCGTTGCGGGGTTCTGCATTGACAGAAATCCACGCAAAAATCCGCCGCAGCACGTCTGCAAAGTCGGTGCAGTGATCATTGACCATCATACAACCAGCCCCTGACCCTGATAGCCCAATGAAGTCGTGGCCGCCCTGACTCGGGTCCACGGATGTGCGAGGTTCCCCTATACATATTGGTGGTTTCGTCGGATACGTCTGCACCAAAACCCTGTCCCTAATGTGCTTGGCCTCCTCACTGAGGACCCATCCCAAGGAATGAGCGGCTTCGTCTGATACCTCTGCAATACCGTCTGCCCCTAATGTGCTCGGCCTCCCCATTCAGGCTCCATCCCCAGGCATTAGGGGTACAGTCGGACCGAGGCATGGAGATCGAGGTCGGCTTGGGGAGGGTACCCTAGTTCTCTTCTTGTGTGCTGGATGCTGCTCTCGTGCGTCCTGGGGAGGGGGCCCTCCACTGTTCTGCCTCGTTTGACCGACGGAGGGCCTTGCGCTCTTGAGGGCTGTTTTTCTGGCCCAGGCCCGACTGTACTTTCATTGCTTACCGTTGTGCGGTGGGTTCGTGCGACGTTGGTCAGCCACGCGCAGAGGGGGGTGGGGGGAGGGGGGGGGGCTTCTTAGAAGCACCCCTGCTTCTTAGAAGGCGCGGGCCTTATCTATAGATGTAAGGCCGGCGCCTTCTAAGAAGCAGCCTGCTTCTAAGAAGCCCTCCCCCCTCCCCTCCCCCCCTTGTGCGCGCCGCCAAGTTGGCGCGCTGGCGACGCTGGCGAAGGCGTTCCAGGTGGAACCCCACATGCTAGAACGACGCGGAAGGAGGGGCACTGAAACGCCCCAGGAACCCACGGAATCCAACCTTGAGCCATCGAGGCCGCGATCGGTGCCAGGGCGAACGATCGACCCAGACCCCCGACGTCGACCCCCAGACGTCTGGGTCCCTCCCCCTGGACCGCTTTTCCATCCTGAGTCATTGTTTGACGGTCCCGACGCCCGGTAAGGGCCCCCGGAGGCCGAAAACAGCAGCACGCTTCCCGTCGCGACTTTTGTCGCAGCGCGGGGAGGGGAGGTCTGGGGAGGCGGTCGCAAAAACCTTTGCGCGCGCCGACGCCGCGCGAACCTGCCAGATAGGCATCAGCCACGCGCAGAGGGGGGTGGGGGGGAGGGGAGAGGGGGGAGGGCTTCTCAGAACCACCCCTGCTTCTCAGAAGGCGCGGGCCTCATCCATAGATGTAGGGCCGGCGCCTTCTAAGAAGCAGCCTCCTTCGAAGAAGCCCTCCCCCCTCCCCCTCCACCCCCCGGGCGCGCGCCGCCAAGGAAGGAGTGGGAGGAGGGAAGGCGGAGGAGGGAAGGCGGAGGAGGGAAGGCTGAGGAGGGGAGGAGGGAAGGCGGAGGAGGGGGAAGGGGATGGGGACAAGCTAGGTGCGCTCGCGTCATATCTGACGCCCTACCCCTCCCTCCCATCCCTTACCATGGCGCTGATTTTCTCTATCCGCGGACGCGTGTCGTAGCGGACCTGTGGCTCCGCGCGCGCGTGCGTAGTGGGTGGTTGTGCGCGTGCGTGCGTGCGTGCGTGTGTGCGTGGTTGTCGTGGTGGTGGTGGTGGTGGTGGTGGTCGTGGTGGTGGTAGTGGTGGTCGTGGTGGTGGTGGTGGTGGTGGTGGTGGTGCTGCTGGTGGTGCTGCTGGTGGTGGTGGTGGTGTTGGTGCTGGTGCTGGTGCTGGTGCTGCTGGTGGTGGTGGTGGTGGTGGTGGTGGTGGTGGTGGTGCGGCGCGGTGGTGGCGGCCGGATGGGCGCGCGAGAAAGAGGCCGCGCTGGGGCGAGAACGCCATCCTGAACGACGGAGGCCAAACACCGATCCGAAAATGAGGCCCACGCTGCAGCGGGAGCACGATTCGGAACGATTCGGGAGCAGAAATGAGGCCGGCGCCTCAGCGAGAGCAGCATTTTGGAAAAAAAACGCAGGCGAAAACCCGTTTCCCGGGAATCCTGTGTGTAAAAAAACAGTACGCGGGGGGGGGGTCGGATATCTTCGGGACGCCATCAGGGGAAGTGGGAGAGTATTTTCATATTGTGCAATTGTGGAGGAGGAGGAGGAGGAGGAGGAGGAGGAGGAGGCGAGGAGGAGGAAGGAGGAGGAGGAGGAGGAGCAGGAGGAGGAGGAGGAGGAGGAGGAGGAGGAGGAGGAGGAGGGGGGGGTGCGCGCCGCCAGAGGCACGAAGCCCGAGCGGCTGGGCGCGCTGCGGTGCCTCGGGCGCCTGGGGCGGCGGGGAGGTCCGGCCGCCGCGGCGGCGGCCTGCGCGTGCCTCGCCGACGCCGACCCGGAGGTGCGGCGCGCGGCGGCCCGGGTCGGGGCTCGAGACCCCAAGACCTCCTCGAGCCTCCTCCTCCTCCTCCTCCTCGTCCTCCTCCTCCTCCTCGAGCCTCCTCCTCGAGCCTCCTCTCGAGCCTCCTCCTCCTCCTCCTCTCTCTCCTCCTCCTCCTCCACCTCGAGCCTCCTCCTCCCTCTCCTCCTGTTACCCCCCCCGCCTCCCCTCGGCCCGGCAGTGTGTCGCCACCACCACCACCATAAGTTGGAGGGGGGAGGAGGTGGAGGATGATGAGGAGGAAGAAGAGGAGGATGAAGAGGAGGAGGAGGAGGAGGAGGAGGAGGAGGACCCCCTCCCCCTCCTACTTATTATGGTGGCATGCTGCCACGTCATTTCCAGAGTTCCAGATCCAGGGTCGAGGCTCAAGAGCCCAAGAACTTTGGAGAGGATCGGGGGCGGCAATGAAGTAAGCGATGACTAGGGGGGGTAGATGTCATGGCGTGGGCCAGTGGTATTCCTGAAGATCTCATGGCGCCGCTTCTTGTTTCATTGCGTCCCTGCCCCCCCCCCTTGGCCGCGCACGTGCCGCCGGCCATGATTTGCACCCCCCCCCCTCTTGGACGCCCCCCTCTTGGCCGCCCCGGAGAGGAAGCACCTCGCCGAATCATTTCCAGAAGTACACAGCATGTGCCGAACGTGTCTTGAACCCACAATATATGACATGTTGTTTATAGAGAACTTGTTCATAACATGTTCCCGACATTTCGACATGCTAAAAACATGGTGAATTAAATGATCGGATTGTGTAGGGTGTCCATTGTCATGGCATCCACAACCAAACATGTTCTAGGAGCGCGAACAATGACACAAACATAAAAAATCGGAGGTCCGCGCAGATTTCTCGGAGCGGCGCTTGGGGCCCCCCTGGCGGTGCCTCTGTCGCCGCCCCTGGCGCGCTCCGCGCGCCAGGGAGGGGGTTCCAGCGCCGATCCGAGAAGTCCGCGCGGGCCTCCGCGTTGTTATGCTTGTGCGATGGCTCGCCCACTAACCAGATGCCCGCGCCAACAAAAAGGCAAACAAACAAAAAACAGGACGCGAGGGGCAGGGGAAGGCCCCCATCGGGTCAGTGATCCTCCTCCGAGCTGTTTACCAGTTTGGAACATATCCCTATCCCTATGTTTGACGTCACCTCACCTCGATGCCGATCTCAAGGATTCCCTCTCAGTTTTTGAGGGCCTCTCCCTAAGATGGTCCTCGCTTTTTGCCCACCCATTCTAGGGATAGGGATACGTTTGGGGCGGGTTAGCTGTGTTCTCCCAGGCCTGCTCGCGCCGTGAACCAAGGCAGGGGCGGGAGGCGCCTTGGCCACGCTCGGCCTCGGGAGGTTGGGGGGGGCCCTCGCTGGGGCTCTCGGCACCGCCAGAAGACGGCGGCGGGGTGGAGAAGCGGCCGTGGCCTCCTCTCCCTCCTCCCCCTCCCCCTCCTCCTCCTCCTCCTCCTCCTCCCCCTCCTCCTCCTCCTCCTCCTCCTCCTCCTCCTCCTCCTCCTCCTCCTGCTAGGTGGCTCCTTGCGGCCCCCATCGCCCCCCTGCAGCCGTTTTGCCTGCGGGGGCGCGCAGGGTGGCGACGAGGAGGGCCCCGGGGGGTGAAACGCCTCGGACCTCGACTTTTGAAGTTGGGAGTTCGAACCTCGACGTAAGCCCCTTCCTCAGCCCTGGGGAGAGGGTCTCCGGGCTCAAGAGGCGGGCTCGGCTCCGGAGGCTGGAGAAGGGGTGAGGCACAGAGGGGTGCGGTGCCAATCGCGGAAGTGGCGACGCCATCTGCTACAGGTGACCTCGTCAGATCCAGCATTGACACCACACCTCTTGACACTGCACCCCTTTCCTACCTCCAGATTGGCATCGTTCGGACGTGTGCATCTCTTCTCTAGGGGAACAAAAAGTGACATAAACATAAAAACTCGGAGGTCAGCGTGGATTTCTCGGATGGGCGCTGGGCCCCCCCAGCGGCGCCTCCGGCGCCGCCCCTGGCGCGCTCCGCGCGAGCATCTATCGCGCCCAGTCTCTATGTCCCAGGCCGTGAGGCGTGGGCGGGCGGCGGGAGGACGTGGCCTCGATTCCAATCTCGAGTGCGAGGCAATGACGCCGCCAACTCGGGGGCGCCTTGAGAGTCTTCTCGATGCCTCCTCGCCCGATGTTGCCCTCGCCCTGGCTTCGCCTGGCGCTGTCGGTTTTTGGGCAGCACTTGCCGTTATCGAGCACATATCGCGCTTAGTCTCTCCGTCCCGGGCCGTAAGGCGTGGGCGTGCGGCGGGAGGACGTGGCCTCGACTCCACTCTCGAGGGCGAGGCATCGACGCCGCCACCTTGAGGGCGCCTCGAGAGTCTTCTCGATGCTGACTCGCCCGATGTTGCCCACGCCCTGGCGCTGTCGGTTTCGGGGCAGCACTTGCTGCTGTCGGGCACCCATCGCGCCGGGTCTCTCCGCACCTGGCGGGCTCGGGCGTCCTGGCCCGATGCGTGGGCGGGCGGCGGGCGTGGGCGCGGCCTCGATTCCACTCTCGAGGGCGAGGCAGCGGCACCGCCGCCCTCTGGGCTCCACCCATGGGGCAGGGAAAGGCCCCCCCTCTGTGGCCCCGAGATCCTGGCGAGCCCCTCTCGTGGCCTCGACTCGAACTCGAGGACGAGGCAGCGACACCGCCACCCTGTGGGCTCCACATATGGGCAGGGGAAGGCCCCCCGTCTCCCTAGCCCCGAGATCCTGGCGCTGCTGCAAGTTTTTCACATCGGTGTTTCTTCTCGCCCAATGTTTCTGGCCCTGGGCCCTCACGTATCGATCCGGATCGAAAAATATAGCAGGATGATGGGGTCTAGGGTTCCAGTCGTTGTTTTTGTTGCCCGATGTCACGTTTTTCCCCAACCCTCTTGCTTTGGGCATTAGTTTTGAATAGAGCACTGCGGTCGCACACCTTCCTTCCTTCCCGCCCCCGCCATCCCTGGGGGGCTGCGATCTGCGAAACTGTCGCCGCTTTAGATGGCTGCTTGGGGGTCCAGCGCAGTGACGTCTTGCCGGGACTCAAATGAGACCTCGCCGTCCCTGAAGGGGGCTGCGATCTGCGAAATTGTCGCCACTTTCGATTTTCGAGGGCAGCTGGGGGTTGAAGCGGAGCGACGTCCTACCCCGACTCAAATGAGATTTCGCCATCCCTGGGAGGTTGCAATCTGCGAAACCGTAGCCACGTTCGAGGGTTGCTGGGGGGCGCAGCGGTTTTGACGTCCTACGCAGACCACCTGGAGACCTCGTTTACCTGGGGGGCTACGATCTGCCAAGCAGTCGCCACTTTCGAGGGTTGCTGGGGGGTCCAGCGCAGTGACGTCCTACTCGGATTCAAATGAGACCTCGCCATTCCTGGGGGGCTGCGATCTGCGACGCTGTCGCCACTTTCGAGGGCAGCTGGGGGTTGAAGCGCAGCGACGTTTTACCCAGACTTAAATGAGACCTCGCCGTCCCCGGGGACTGCGTTTTTCGAAGCTGTCGCCTTTTTCGAGGGCTGCTGGGGGGCCCAGCGCAGTGACGTCTTACCGGGATTCAAATGAGACCTCGCCATCCCTGGGAGGCTAAGATCTGCGAAACTGCCGCCACTTTCGAGGGCTGCTTGGAAGGGGCTCATCGGAGTGACGTTCTACCCAGACTCAGATGAAACCTCGCCATCCCTGCCGGGCTGCGATCTGCGAAATTGTCGCCACTTTCGAGGGCTGCTGGAGGGTCCAGCGCAGTGACGTCCTACCCGGATTACCCTATAGACTTCGCCATCCCTGGGGGGCTGCGATCTGCGAAACCGTCGCCAATTTCGAGGGCGGCTGTGGAGTGCAGCGGATTGACGTCCTACGCGGACCACCAGGCGACCTCGCTATCCCTGGTGGGCTGCGATTTGCGAAACTGTCGCCACTTTCGAGGGCTGCTTGGGGGTGCAGCGGAGTGGCGTCTTACGCGGACCACCCGGAGACCTCGCCATCCCTGAAGGGGGCTGCGATCTGCGAGAGTGTCGCCATTTTCGAGGGCTGCTGGGGGGTCCACGGGAGTGACGTTTTATGCGGACCAGCCGGAGACCTCGCCATCCCTGGAGTGGTGCGATCTGCGAAGTTGTCGCCACTTTCGAGGGCTGCTGCGGGTGTAGCGGATTGACGTCCTACTCGGACCACCAGGCGATTTCGCTATCCCTGTGGGGGTGCGATCTGCGAAATTGTCGCCAATTCAGAGGGCTGCTGGGGGGTCCAATGGGGTGACGTCTTACGCGGACCACCAGGAGACCTCGCCATCCCTGGGGTCTTTCGGAGTGACGCTTTTTCCCGTTACCCGGGGGTTGTTTCGAGATCCGGGTGTCGCCAAGAAGGAACCAGAGAAGTTGGTGGGCGAGCTGGGGTTCTTTCGCTTCTTGCACAAGGTATATGCAGGTGTACTCTGTTTTGTCCAGCGCCGCGGCGAGTTGGCGCAGGCAGGTCTGCATCTTTAGCGTACTACCGACACAAGCAACACTCTTCGGTCTCCTCCCGCCAATGTCGCCGTCGTCCTCTGCCCCTATGCCACCTTCCCTCTGCTGCTGCTGCGCTGACGGTTCTGCCCCCCAGGCGTCCTTATCGTGCCGTTCGTTCCCGCCCCCATGTCCTTCTTAAGGCTGCGCCATCGCTCCTCGTACCTCTGTTGTTGTCCTGTGAGTCGTGTCTCGTCTGCACATCCCATGTTGTTTGCACAGCATATAACGGCGCCCGCGCTGTCATCGTCCTGGCAAATTTGGGCCAATCACCCTTGTCACTTCATGCGAATGCGTTGGGTACGTCACAGTGTAATTTCGCTGAGTCGGATTTCAGGGAAGCCTCCTGGATAGGGTCGGGGTAGATGTGATCGGAGGATCACGCCGCTTCGTCGATGCATCGGGGAGGCGTCTCTATGTGGGGTCCGATTTCTCCTCGCCGACGTCTCAGATGCATCGCCAAAGTCGCCGACGCATCGCCGATGCAGGGCCGATGCATCGGAGATGCAT